CATTTTTGGTCTACAAGCTTTGAAATACTACATAAAGATAACATATGTATGTGATAGTACAAATCTGATGATGTCTGCCTATACTTGTACAGAAATTGTGTACCTAAACCCATGCAAATTTTCCTATGAAGAATTTTATTGTTATCAAAAAAAAATAAAAGCAAAACTTCAAAAAAAAAAAAGAATAACTGAAAAAAAAACTAGGACATGTTACGTACCCCTCCCCCCAAAAAAATAACAATTAGATTAAGTGCTGATTTACCAAAGCAATAATAGAAGCCAGAAAACCAGGGAGAAACTGTTAAATTAGACTTTCCATGAGATATTCAAGAAATTTTTAGACACATAAAGAACAGAAAAAATTTCCTCAGATAAACCTTTTGTACTAGAAATAATGCAGATATTCTTCAAGAATAAAAATTACCCTAAAAGAAAAGCATGAGAAGCCAGAAAATAACGAGTAAACAAAGATTCTAGCAGACATAAGAAAGTTTAAACAAATGTTGACTATATAAAATAGCAAGAAATGACCCAAGACAGGGATAATAAATCTTTCTAAAATAATTGTTTTCTCATGCAATCATGGGGTGGCTTCTAGAGTTTGTGATGAATTCTTGGTCTAATGCTGGGATTATGGGTGGAAGTGCTACACCTGCCCTGGGGCAGATAATCTGCATACAAATGTAAAGAGGAGAGAGAGGCTTGTTAGGTGCCACTGCCGCTACTCCTCCCTTTGCTCTTTTCTGTCTTCCTCTGCTATGAGAGGCTGCCCACTGCCATGTGCCACTGTGCCTTGGAGCCAGCCAAGTACAGACTGAAACCTCTACTAATGGTGAGCTAAATAAACGTTTCCTTCCTCAATTCTAGGTGTCTCGTATTTTGTCACAGAAATGAGAGAAAAGTAACTAAGACACCAAAACTGCTTACTTTCTTTCTAGAAGCTATAGATGCTCTATAATCTAGAATAGTCTTAGGCCTATGGGAGCGCACAAAGTCTAAAGTTAAACTGCAGAATTTGGAGTTGGGATATCTGTTCCATTATTTAGAGAGAAAATCTTGTTCCTGGATTATGAGTCTATTCCTAGTTTTGTGATCACCTTCATGTGATTTATCTGGTCAGTCCATAGCATTTGAGTCTCAAATTAGTTGGAAGGATGTTCATTTTTTTCAAAGCGTCACCTGTTAGACCCAACTTAGAAAACCACAAACATCTTTTTCCTCTTCTGCCTCCTACCTAGGATGTTAATTATGAATCCAGTTTTCTATTAATGAGTCAGTTATCTTATGATTCAATGTTTTCTTCATTAAATAAGGAGACACTAGACAGAGATGATCAATGAATTTTCTTTAGTTGCTAATGATTGATGTTGACAAAAGGTGTGGTGCTACAGGACCACATTGCCGTGTCAGTGGTACCTAAACAACTCCACAGCCACCGTGGTCTTTGACTCCCATGCACCTACCCCTGGACCAATGGGACAAAACTGAGAACACAGAAAGAAATCCATATACTTACAGCCAACGAATTTTCCACACTAATACCAAGAACACACTTTGGAGAAATGACAGTCTCTTTCATGAATGTTTCTGGGAAAATTGGATCTCCACAAAAAGGTGACTGAAACTAAACTATCTTTCACCATTCACAAAAATCAACAAAAATTAAAAGATTAAATATAGGACTTGAAATTATGAACCCGTGAGAAGAAAACTGGGAAATTGCTCTGTGAAAGAGTTATAAGAATTCAGAAATGAAAACAACAGAGTCAAAAATACACAAATAGGCGGGATTGGTGTGCAACCCAGTAAACTCAAGAACTTGAGTTTGATCCCTAGCAACACACACACACACACACACACACACACACACACACACCTCATACCACATTACATCAAACTGAAGTTTTCCCATGATAATAGAAACCATCATCAGAGTAAAGAAATAACCTACAGAGTAGGAGAAAATATTTGCAAACTAACAGTCTGAAAGTAAGTTAATATTCAAAAAACATAAGGGGGGGAAGTGTAGCTGATTTAGGGACAAATGTGTAAACCTATTTTCCTATGAAAAATTTTAAGTGTCCCACTTGAATAACGTAATTCTTCATAGATATTTTTTATCTGTGGAGAAATAGCAACCTAATTAATTTGCAATGAATTGTTTATGTTTAGACATAGAGTGCTAAGCCCTGCCTCTGGGAATTATCCATTTTAAAGCAACCTTTTGTGCAATTCAAGATGAAGTTTTTATAAGTAATGGAAAGTGACAATACAATAACACTTTCTGTATGAAAGTATATATTTTATGTGATTTATTCCTACTAAGTGAAAGTGCACTACTGCTTCATGCACTACTGCTCTGCGTACAGAGCCTGAAAATGATTAAGGAGTAACATAGATAGCAATCATGGCCCCTCCCTCCCTTCACAATTTATTTGAATACTTCAATTGTGCCTCTTGATTTTTGTAATGCTATAAAATCAGTATAGATGGTTTTAAAATGTATTCTTTGAAAATTATTTTATGTAAAATAAATGTTACTTAATTAAAAAAACATAAGGAACTCTTAGCAGCTCAATAACAAAAATAATAATCTGATTTTAAAACAGTTAAAAGATATGAATAGCTCTTCATTCTGGAAAGCCATCTTCGTGGCTGGACTTAGAGCCCCTTGACTCCCCGATGATTGAAAATAGAATTTAGTGTCTTTATTTTCGCCATGGGTTGCATTGTAAGTGGTAGATTGGAATCAACTTGATGAGATTCCAATAACGTAACTTTGGGATTATAAATATTGGCTTCTTGGACCAAGACAAGGCCCTGGAAGAGTCTCCTACAATTGGTGCTCAACGTGACCAGAATGCGCTACCTTCTCAACATAACAACCACTTACCAGAATCATGTGCAGGTGACCCACTGGACCTTGCATGACCAATTTAAAGACTCAAAACTATATGTTCATCCATGAGAAAATGCCTGTCATCTATTGGGCCTTTAGGTAGAACCTCTGAAGAATATATCTGACTGCTGGTCAACAACTACAACCCCTTTCAGCTTGAAGAAGCCAGAACGGACATCACCCACAACCTTCACAGCAGTTCAGGTTGCTTCTTCAGAGGGGGGAATGTTGTAGACAGCTAAGTTAGATAGAAATGTTATAGGCAGTCAGATAGGGCCAGGCCTTCAAACAGACAGGATGGAAGACAAGATGACCTTACAACTTTTGGAAGAGACAGACACTCCCATATGGGCCCATACTATTAATCTTTTTCATTATTGATAGGGAAAGTAGAATGGAACTCAGCCCAACAACAGCTAAGGGCTACGTGGCTAGAACTGACACTGCTCCAGCTGCTTCAAAGCAAAGAAGGGGGAACTGTGGAGGACCACCTGAGCAGCTCTCCTTGAAAGAAGACAGACTATCTCCAGCTGGACTGAGCCTGACCCTATTTCCTATGTACAGAGCTGGCTAGGACTTCTGTTTATCAATTGGCCTTAGGTAAATGTAGGCCACCCACCTAGCTCAGTTCACAGTGATCACCTACTTTCCACAATTCTCAGTCAATCCTCCTCAAGCCACTCCCCCACTGAATAAAAACTGGGTGAGGCCTTGGGTTGCTCTCTTCGTTCTGGAAAGCCATCTTTGTGGCTGGACTTAGAGCCCCTTGACTCCCCGATGATTGAAAATAGAATTTAGTGTCTTTATTTTTGCCATGGGCTGCATTGTAAGTGTTAGATTGGAATCAACTTGATGGAATTCCAATAACGTAACTTTGGGATTATAAATATTGGCTTCTTGGACTGAGACATGGTCCTGGGAGAGTCTCTTACAAAAAATATGAATAAACAATTACATATTTTTACACAGAAATTTAGAAATCTAACCATATATAGCCTTGTAGCAGGACAGTCATATGACATTTCTTTTTCTTCTCTCTTGTTTTCATTTACTACTTTTTTTTTTAAACCACCAAACATTTACTTGAGAGACACTATAGCAGTGATTGGTATGACATGACAAGCAGTATGTATTTAGAAGACCAGAATGACAGGCATTACAAGCATGACCCTAGTATTACACATTGCTATCTTCAATGCAGTTGCTTACTTCACAGGTATCAGCGTATATAGTCACAGTGAGAATTCTACCAATTAACTGCTAGTTTCGAAAACCTGCTGAAGATTCTCAGAATCATTACCTTAACCATCTTGTGCCAAAATGTATGGTTTTGCCCCTGTCATGTTCGTCTATTTTTTTTAACCTATGTCTTCTTTAGATGTGCTGAGCAATTCTTTTATGAGTGTTGTCATTTGTTTTTTTTTTCATGAAAGATTATTTCTGATTTGATTTGATTTTTATTTTATTTTTTTAACTTTGTGTATTTGAACAGGTTCTTGCTATACAGTTCAAACTCATAGTGATCCTACTGTTTCAACCTCCCCAGTATTGGGATTATAAGCATATGGCACCTATAATTTTGACCTGATTTCTTCTATAGCCAATGGAGTTGTTTCTTTACTTCAGTTGACATCATTTTCAAAATTTCAGATGTGTGCCTTCCAAGTTCATCTATGTCTGTCTCCTGGACTTGTTCTGGGTAGGGTGGAAGTCAGACATTGCCTTTTGCTCCTTGATTCTGACATTTTTGAAGCTCCCCATGTTCACCCAGGCTAAGCAGTGATGATAGGTGGGTGGATTATGAATCATCAAACCTACCCCAGCAGTAGGAGGGACAAGATAGGCTCACCAATGCCCTATAGCTGTCGGGGGCTCAGCCTTCCTGCTGCAGTGGTTGGGGAGGGCGCACAGCTCAGAAAGGCTCCCACGACGGTGGGAGGCACTGGGGGAAAACAAAATGTCTTAACATAGATTCTTGGCCTGTATTGTTTGTAGGACACTATTTTAAACCCCTACTGAAGAAAAATGAAAATAATGTCAGTTTTCAAGAGTTTGCACTAAAACAGCACAGTAGCACTCATTTCTCTCCTCTCCCAAGTATACCTTTCCTTTGTGGGGACTTTCCTGTGAATGCATTACCCACCATTTCCATTTCCTTTCAAAACTCAATTGTCACTTTGTCTTCGACCCCTCCCCCCGTCATATCAGGATTTTTAAATTTTGTGACTAGAATATTTTGTTCTTGCTAAGGTTCTAACACTTTTCACAATACATTATACAAGTTTATTTATGAGTCTACCTCTCAAATTGATTAGCTTTTGAGCCACACAGGGAATTAGTATAGGACACATCTGGGTGTATCTGGGTAGGTCATGATGTATGTCCTTGATTACACATCTCATCCCTGGTCCCTCCCTCTCTGGTGCTATTCTGTGGCACTGTTCCTGGTTACCATGAATGAAGCTGCTTTGTCCCTCCATGCCACGATGTTCTTGCCAGGTATCCTGTTGACAATGGACTGGTGCTTCTGAAACCATGAGCTAAAGAGATATCTTTAAGTTGTAGGTATCAGGTATCATGTCCAAGCAATGGGAAAGCTGACTGATACACTGAGTTCCTTAAGGATCTACTCCATATCTTATATATCTTTGTATCTCCAGTACTTAACATGATACCTGGCACATGCTAATCCAATAAATACAAACTACTTTTAAGTTAAAAAAAAAAAGATATGAATAGACATTTCAAAAGGGGACAGAAAAAATGGAGAACAGGGTATGTGAAAAATAGCTCAATATCACTAATCATTAGGAAGTTGCAAATAAAAGTGCAATGAAATCACTTCACCTTAATTAGAATGTCTATTACCAAGAGGACAAAAAAATAGTAAGTGTTAACAAGGATACACAGAATGGGAAACTATTACATTAATCTGAATATGAATTAGTATAACCACAATAGAAAGCAGCATAATTTTTTATCCCAAAATATTAAAAATAGAACTATCTGATGATCCATCAATCCCACTATTAGTCATTTATCTAAGGAAAATGCAAACACCACCTCAAAAACATGTTGCACCTCTGTATTTTTTTTTCAGTACCGGGGATTGAACTCAGGACCCTGCACTTGCCAGGCAGGTGCTTATTCCACTGAGCTATCTCCCCTGCCCTGCACTTCTGTATTCTTTGAAGCATTATTCACAGCAGCTAAGAAGTGGAAACAACAGAAGTCTCTGTCATCTGATGAGTGACTATGAGACATACACACAGCAACATTATCTGGCCATGAAGTAGATGGAGTCCTTCACGTAAGGCAATGTGGAATGAGCTGGGAGATACAATGTTAAGTGAGAAAAGCTAGGCATGGAAGGACACCTCATCATGTCACTCTTCTGTGATACCTGAAAAAATCTATTGCCACGAAGTACAGAATACAACAGTGGAGAAAGGGGGGAACAGAACAAGGAGGGCTGGAGAGATGGGTCAATGGGTACAGAATTACAGTCATTTAGTACAAATAAATGCTGGTGTTCTCTTTCACAGTATGGTGACTCTAGTTTATAATACATTATATAGTATATTGCAAAATAACTAGAAAAGAGAAACATGCATGCTCTCATCATGAATAAATGATAAATAGTTTAAAATAATAATATATTAAATGCTCTGATTTAATCATCATTTAGCACTTGCTAAATATGAGTATGTATCAATTTAAAACAAAACAAAACTTTAAAAATTTAAAGAGCTAAACATACAACACAAATTGTAAAAATGGCAACAAAATAAATTGAAATTTATCAAATAATCAAAGTTCAATGATAATCAAAATAACTAAAAATTAATAGAAAGGATCAGTAAACCAAAACATGATTCTCTGAAAAGAATTTTTTTTTAAATTGACAATGTCAGAAATCGCTTTTGGGGAGGGCCTGCCCACTAGCTCAGTCATTTAAGTGACTGCTTCAACAAGGCAGTCAGGCTCAGGATGCTGTGGTTTGAGCCCCATATCCTCAAGCCTTGCCAGACCTGATCTGAAGGCATCCTGAGCCAGCCATAAAAGAAAGAAAGAAAGAAGAAAGAAGAAAGAAAGAAAGAAAGAAAGAAAGAAAGAAAGAAAGAAAGAAAGAAGAAAGAAAGAAGAAAGAAAGAAAAAGAAAGAAAGAAAGAAAGAAAGAAAGAAAGAAAGAAAGAAAGAAAGAAAGAAAGAAAGAAAGAAATTGCTTTGGGGA